GCTCCGGGCGGATGACGTATGAGTTCAGCGCTGCGGAGCCGTGTGAGACACTTTTTTTTTTATGGATGGGTGCTTTTTATTTAACTTCTTTTGGACTGATGCATGCAACACCCGCTGAGTGGCATTAAACAGCTTGAAAGATCAAAGACCATTTTTAATATAACACCGACTGGATTCGTCTGAAAGAAGAAAGTCATATACACCTAGGATGACTTGAGGGTGAGTAATTTATGGGCTAATTTTCATTTTGGGGGGAACTAACCCTTTAAGGCTAGTCCCAGACTAAATTGCATGTTTGAGCTGTCTTAACTGAAAATAACTTGCACTGACATATGTTAAAATAATGTCAGTGCCATTGTTTTGTCTCAAGATGCACACGAGTAATGTTTTTTTTCTAAGGCATTTTTATAAAAGCTGCTTAAATATCCTAATTTAACTAAGGCCTAGTCATGGCTTAAGCTAAGGCCTGTCTGTGAAACCAGGCCTAAAAGTATTAATATTTTTAATGTTCTGTAATTGTAATACATGATTTAAAAAAAAAAAAAAAAAAATCTGATAATGTGCAGTTTTATGCCTGGTTTTCAATTATACTATAATGTTGCATGGTGTGATGCTATCTAAAGGGTGTTTTTTTCCTTACTAGGCTGCAATAAATAAATCAATCAATAAATAAATAACTGTAACCATACAGAGCATGTTCTGTAATTGTAATACATGATTTAAAAAAAAAAAAAAAAATCTGATAATGTGCAGTTTTATGCCTGGTTTTCAATTATACTATAATGTTGCATGGTGTGATGCTATCTAAAGGGTGTTTTTTTCCTTACTAGGCTGCAATAAATAAATCAATCAATAAATAAATAACTGTAACCATACAGAGCATTCAATTTCACTGTTCAAGTATCTCAGTGGCATAGTGTGTTATCATACAATGATATACAACCCTTCATTCTGTGCACTTAACCAAAACCAAAGTGCAATGCAACACTGGAGGAAGAATTACCAAATTAAGGCTTTTCTGTCTGCAGTCTGCTTTTTCCCTGAGTGGTCATTTTATGTTTCCGCTTTTTGCTTGCAAGGATTGATTTGGGCAAAGAAAACAAAAACCAGGGTAATATATTGCCACACTGTTCAGCTTGGCTACAGAGAAAATGAAGTGAAATTCTGGCAAGCTTAACAGCCTCCATCAAACCATCTTTGCAGCACAGCTAAACGTGATCTATCGGTGCTGATGTAATAATCACACTCTGTTTTCTGTCCATACTTTGTACTCACAGTGCCGATGGACTCGAAGGCTGAATATACACCCCCTGAATCCAGAGCCCAGCATTCTCATCACCACAGCTATGCCTATGTACCCTGTTGCCTAGCGACACACCCACATAATTTTCCCATGTGCCTCCTCTTCACGGCCTGTGAGTTGCAGCTTCTTGGTTTGTTCAAAGACGCTATCAGAAACAGCCCTGGCACATATTGTACAAACATACAATAAAAACTAATGAAAATCATGAATCATGCTGATCATGAATGAACAAGGTTTTTAAAACTAGTCTGGATGTTCTAGTATCCAAATATGTCCACTATCAGAATAACATTTTTGATGAGCCAAGCCATGCCAAGTTCAATGGTTGATTTTCCAATTTGTTTCCTACTGAATATTTATTCCTCACCAAGATGCCATGCTGCTCTACTAAAACATAACCTCAATATTACCGTGTCAAGCTCACCAGTGTGGCCTCTATTTTTTCCGTAGAGTCCTGTTCACCAGCAAAAGGATTATTCAGATCCCTTTGGGATAGTCTGGCATAAAAGAAAGCCTCACATGGGCCAAAAACACCAGTCATCACAATGTTTATTGTGCTCGCTAGTCAGAATCAAGGCATAAAGATCCACAAGTTGACAGTTACACAACAAAACAAGCATTGTCATTCAAAGGCTTCCACACATGAACCCCCAAACATACTCACAGAAGCAGACAAAACATCTGAAGATGCCCTCAGATGACTTCAAAGATGAAATCAAAGCCTGACCCCTACAAGCCACTCAAGAGTGGTTACGGTTTGGTAAATAATTAACATGGTGCCGTCTCAGTATATTACTTCTGGCTGAATGCCGCCAAGCTCACACACACAGTCACACCCATTCCGGTTACCTGCACTGTGATGTCTGCATCCTGAAAACCCATCCACGAGTGAGCGAGAGGGATAAACTTTCCCTCCTCCTCCTCCTCCTCCTCGTCTTCCTCTTCACCCCTCCCCTCGCACTTTCTCTTCACTGCGGCTGCGCCTTACTGGAAGGCCAGCAGAAACATCAGCACTACGTTGATGATGACCAGCAACATCATGATGACGAACACCACCACCTTCTGGGCCTCCGGGCTGAGGTTGCACCGCAACAGGAAGTGAGCCATACCCTGCCGAGACATCGTTCGCTGGCCTCCACGAGCCATGGTGCCGGAAACCCCCTCGCCAAGCGGTCTGTGCACGAACACTCGACAGCACACGGTTTGCCAACCGGATCCGCTCTGTGTTCTCGGTGAAACGTGAGGGGGAGGGGGAAGAGCCTCCACGTCCACAGTTACCTGCTCACTTCCTTTCCGTTCCCTTCTCGTTCTTTCTCTCTTTCTCTCGCGCACACACTATCTTCCTCCTCCTCGTCCCACACTCCCCTCGGTTCCTTCCCTGCACTGCTGATGTCAGGAGCAGGGGTGGATGTCTCTCTCAGCCTCCATGTATTCTTCTCCTTCTATGCTTTTTTGTGTCCCTTCCTGTCTGTTTTTTCTCTTTCTGTGCTCCCTTTCGCTGCCTCCCCCTCGTTCTCGTTCCTTGTCCTCCTGCTCTGCTTAAACACGCTGCCGTGTTAATTCCCTTGGATATGATTAACGCACTTGAAATCCCTTCTCTTTTCACCGTCTCTTTTGCAAAACCCAAGGCTGAGGGGCAGAAATGGTTGCTGCATCTGTGCTTAGCGGCTCTAGCCGTCCATCCATCTCCCTGAATTGACTTCTTTTTTTGCTCCTGTTTTTTTTTCCTCTTATCCTTCCCGGCCAATCAGCTGGCGGTGCTGTGAAGCGTATCCAGGATACCAGAGTAGCGGAGGCCAGCCTTAGCGGCAGCAGGAGAGAGCCGGTGGTGGGGGGAGGGATGCGAGAGAATGCAGCACAATACATCCTTTCTATCCAGGCGCGTCTCTATTGGCCGAGCCGGCTGGCCGTCAGCCACACTTCCCGTGTTAAAGCAAGCACGTCCTGCTCGTCTTCTCGAGGCAGTGCTACAGTGACAGTAATGCTGCTGGAGATATTAATTAAAGGCTGCATGAGGTCCCAAACACCTCTTGAGCTTTCATTTCCTGACCGGTGTCAGTGAGGAAGGATTAACGCAGTCATCCTCACTCGTCTCGTTCCCGTGCATCAATTTGTGCACAGCTAATGGGATTAGTGAAGGCCTCTGATTCCCGTAACCTGCTGTTCTCTGTCTCTCTCCGGCCGCAGAGACCCATCCCCACCGTCACAATGTCACACAGCAAGATACTTCCTTTTAAAGGGTCATATGATGCGATTTCAATTTTTCCTTTCTCTTTGGAGTGTTACAAGCTCTTGGTGCATAAAGAAGATCTGTAAAGTTGCAAAGACTAAAGTCTCAAATCCAAAGAGATATTCTTAGAAACATCATATGACCCCTTTAAATCAGCAGCTGTGCCTTTTTTACTGACCCTGAAAAACTGACCCTAAAAGCTTGCTGGTCTCGAACCAGGAACTGCTGAGGGGTTATATTCTGGTCGCTAACTATGCCTCAGATCCCTTCTAATGCAAGCTTAGATCTCCAGGTGAAAATGATTATGATCATGATTTGAGGTACTGTATCATTCTTGTCTGTAGCACGAACGGTGCAGGACAAGTTACACACTAAAGTTTAAAACTAGGGGTTGTTCAAATGTCTGAGCAATAGTAACAGTAATGCCTGCCTTAGCCCCCTATTAAAACAATGACACTTACATTTTGCCGGTTTATAATTTGCTGGATTCTTTACCAGGACAGAAGGGCTAAAAACAATAACAACAGCATCAGCACAGGGCTTCTGTGCAGCTCAGTGCACACCAAGCTCCCAGAGGCTTGATTTATGACTGTTGATTAGATTTTTCTGCTGTTTCTGACTAAAATGCTGAATGGAGTTACTGAGCGGCGTTCGAAAATTATACCAAACAGTCATAAATCAAACTCCGACACTCTGTATATTCTCTGAAATACTTTGAAGATAACAGCATCTTCCTACAACATGCTGAAGATGATGGGAGAAGTACAGTGGCAGCAGGCCATTCTGCTGGTCTCAGGCCTCAGGAGAGGAACAGATGGGTAGTAGACTGAATTCCAACATGTATAAACACTGAATCAAGAGCACAGCTACATATTAAACTAAAGTGGTGCCTTGAAAGCCTGTCTGAAACCAGTTATCTTCATACAAAAACACAGTTTGTTTTGGCTCTGTAAGGCCTTGGGTTTCAAACACAGACTTCCGGCTCTTTAAGTGTTGGAAGGAACATTCAGCTTCTATGAATGTCTTACCATGGACAGAGAAACAGAAGCACAATCTGTGAACATAAACGAAGACTAACACATAGACAGCCTGTATGTTCTACCTCATTTATGGCCAGCTGCTCTCCTCCTCCTCCTGGGTGTCCGAATCGGTTGGAGGAGCTGCGAAACTCATTGTACAGGTCATCTTCACTCCCCACCTCATCCGCAAGGCCAGACTTATCCTGCGGTCCATCAGTTATCACCAAGGCTGAAAAGTAAAGCACAAAACTGTCAGTCCTGCAGCATTTGGGGTCTAGCTCAAAGCAGATTCAGCTTAGCCTTGCAATAATATTGTTTGTTAATATGCCAAATTTAAAAGATACAAAAAGGTTTATAGATTCTCAGTTTTGATCACAATGAATAAATTGTCATTTTGCATTAAAACACTGAAATAGTATATGACACATTTACAGTGTTTAAAAGTATAATACGTAATTTTTTGTTAACGTTTTGCTGGTCAACATGACCGTGATCTTGGACTTAAGAAATGGCCTATAACTGAACAACCAAATGTCTTAAAAAAGAACTTTAATGCAATAGTATTTGACTGATCATGTGATCTCAAAATGGTGCCTCCTTCTATGTGGGAAAAAACAAATGGCTTTATCTAGGCCAGGGGATTTTCAGACTGGGGTCCAGGAAGCCACAAGGAGGTGCTGGAGGTGCATATATATACGTACAGTGGGTACGGAAAGTATTCAGACCCCCTTAAATTTTTCACTCTTTGTTATATTGCAGCCATTTGCTAAAATCATTCAAGTTAATTTTTTTTCCTCATTAATGTACACACAGCACCCCATATTGACAGAAAAACACAGAATTGTTGACATTTTTGCAAATTTATTAAAAAAGAAAAACTGAAATATAACATGGTCCTAAGTATTCAGACCCTCTGCTCAGTATTTAGTAGAAGCACCCTCTTGATCTAATACAGCCATGAGTCTTATTGGGAAAGATGCAACAAGTTTTTCACACATGGATTTGGGGATCCTCTGCCATTCCCTCTTGCAGATCCACTCCAGTTCTGTCAGGTTGGTATATATATAGGCATACAGTATATACACACACATGCATGCATATATTTAAGAAAAATATGTTTTGTTTATATATAAAATGTTAATATTTATATATAATATAAATGTTATATATACTGTATGTATATATATATACATGTAAATATTTGTAAAATATATACATGTATGTTTGTGTATTTATATATACATAATAAATATACACAGTACACATATATTTTGCATTTTATACATATATTATGTAAATAAAAACGTTTATTTTGGATGCGATTAATCGTGATTAATCGTT